CCTGGAAGCAGCTCTTTCTGAAACTTACGTGTACAGTTTCTAAACAGTGTTCTGATTGCACTGATTTCCTGAAGAATCACTTAGAATGGTCACTTGCTTTGATGGTGTTTGCTGTGAGCAGCTGGATGAGTTTACCATTCATGCCCTTGAGTCTCAATTGATTTTTTTTTTTCTCCTAATAAATGGGCTTGGCATGTGTAGATCTGTATCAGCACACTGCTTTGTAGGAGATAGGAGGTACATGGGGTCAATAACCTCATGTTACTGCCAGGGAGGAGCAGGTGGGCAGAACCTGATGTGGATTTCAGCAGAAGCAAGCCATCTGGTCTAAGAAAATAAGCAGAATCACAGTAAGAAGTATATCGCTTTGTGTTGTCTTTTGTTGTATCACCTTAAAGCCCACTCTAGTTCTGCTAACAAGCTGCTTTGTGTCCATTATTAATATTTTAATATTTTTTCAGCGACTGCAGGCAAAATCAGTGTGCTCAGCTGGGTCTCTAAAACCAGGTGTTCTATATGTCTGTGGCAGCAGCTGCATTAAAAAGCCAAGGGAGCACGAGAGGCCATCAGAGCTCACAGTGAAGCTTGTGTTGGAGTGATGACTGTGCCTGGGGTCCGTTTGTAAGAGCACCAAGGCCACTGCCTCTGCAAGAAGGGCTGGCAGCCAGGCTGGAGCTGGGATCCGGTAACTGAGCCAGGACAGCAAATCACAGATCCTGGAATGCTGGGCTGGGAGGTAGGAGGCAAAATGCTGCACGAGGCTGTGCCTCTATAGAAGCATTTAGTGCAGTTTTCCACTTCTCCTTGGAGCTGTAATGTGCTCCCACTTAAAGCAGCATAACTGTCACCAAAGTGCTCTGCTGTCATATTTATTCCTGCTCTTTCACTTAAAAAACAAGCTTGGCAGGCAGCTGTGGCAGCCTGCAAAAAGTGTTATGAACGCTTTAAACCTCTTAATGTTCTGTTTTGTTCCTGCTGCAGTGAAGTTCTGAGTGCCAGAACCTTTTGAATGCGTGGTGCCTTTTGAGTGGCTGGTATTTAACAAAATAACATACAGGTTTTGTTGGAGGCCTTCAGAAAGCATTCGTGAAGCTGAGCGTGGAGACACCAGACATGGACTATAAGGAGAATTAAATTAGGGATTATATTTCTGTATGAGGAAAATGTGGAAATTTAGTACAGACTTGATGCATCCCCATCCTTTTGCTATCTTTGGTTTGTTTCAGCTTTTTTTCCCCCCCCCCCTTCTTTATTCTTTGCATAGGTGATTGGAAGGCATTTGGATGGGGGTGGAGGCTGAATTACCATGTAGGTACACAGAGGAATATGCCTTGTACAGTGGTCACGTATCCTCTTTGTTATCCCATGGTCATCTTAAAGTGCTCATATCTTCATCCACATCTTCCCTGACAGAACTTTCAGGCAATGGAACACTTAGGCTGCAAATCTGGGGACCCAGCTTTGTGTGACTGAAGTACTGCCTCTTTGGTAACTCAGAACACTTGCTGTGGTTGTTACTCCCTCTTGTGGGTTTCAGGACAGACTGAACAAGCTAGAAGTTCACTCTTGACCTTTCCATATGGAGCAATTCATCACCACTACACCTCTGACCTGCTAGATGGGATGCTGACCTTCAGACTTGCCTCACTGCGTACATCTGAGAATTAGAGCATTCTTTTATTTCAGGAAGATTAAATCTGGGTGGTGCCTTAAAAAATACAAGAGCTTTTTTTCCTGCTTGTGTTCAGAAACTTGCAGTTGTGCTGTTAGTGTGTAGCACAACTTGTTTTCTCATGAAAGTAGATGAGAGTCTGTGTCGTAGCGTTTCTCTCTTGCAGACTTGGCAAGCACCTGATACAGTGACTGTGTTACGATCTCTCATATCTCCTCTCCTGCAGTCAGCACTTCTGAGTTGCAGTTTGCGGGCTGTTGCTCTTGTCTGGGGAGAGCTGCTATGCTGTGCAAGTTGCTCCTGACAACTAAATTCCAAAAAAGAGCTGTGTTTGCTTCCAGCTGCTCTCCTGTGTACCCAATAAGTACAAATGACTTAGCTGTGCGAAAGATTAAGCTCTTGCTGGAGATTCTCGTTCGTTCTGCTGGCATAACGTTTGTGCAATGTGTTGTGTGAAGATTTCTTTTGAAAACCTCTTGCATTTGTTTTCCTCCAGAGGGACGTATCATCTCTTTTCTCTGGGCAAGAAACTGAAGCACAGTGAAATTCTGTATTAATTGATGACAAAGCAGTGCAACCTACTGATTAGTTTTTGGCCTGAAGATTCAAGAGCTTCCCACTGATACCAACAGTTGTGAAATGTAAAGGTCTCACACTAAGGGTGATTCTCAAGCAGTTCACATCACCTAACTCCAATCTTGGGCCATTTAAAGATAATGTTACAATATGTCTTGGCTTTGGAAGCTGTTTGGTCTCTTGTGTGGCCATGCAGTGCACTGAGTAAAAACCTCTTTGGAAAGCACTTTTTGTGCATCAGCTCTTACCTCTGGTCTGACTATCTGACTCTTCTTTGCACTAGAAAGTCAGAAGAGTAATGCCTTTACTGGAGAGCTGTGCTTACCATTAGTCTCATTCTGCTTTCCAGCTGACCAGAATGATGATGTTTTTTACAAATGAAAAGGTCTGCACCCGACTCAGCCTGATCGAGCCATTGCATTTAAGTGAGGAAGGAAAAGTAAACAAAATCTGTATCTGGTTGTTCTTTATGACCTCTTGTTCGATGCTATTACAAAAAATAATTCATTTAGATTTTTAGGAAGAGCTTGCTGGACTGAGAAAACTTCTGTTTGTGTTGAAGCTCTTTTTCTTTGCTGCAGGAGTAACGCTCTGTAAGTGGCTGGAGCAGCGGCTGCCCTTGTTTCGCTCATTTCAGAAACTGAAATAAAACAGACACCTTGTAAACAGGAAAGAGGAGCAGCGAGTTCCTTTCATTCCAGGGCTAATCCCTAAAAATTAGTGGAAGAATGTTTGTGTGTAGAAACAGGACTGTGGCTGTTAAATCTTGGGTGTTATAGGCTTTGGCTCTTGTCCCCCATACTTCTATTAAGCCTTTTTTTCCTCACTGTCCTGACCTTTTATTTTCACAAGCATCTTGATTCCAATCCTTAGAATCATAGAATCCTAGAATGGCCTGGGTTGAAAAGGAGCACAATGCTCATCCAGTTCCAGCCCCTGCTGTGTGCAGGGTCACCAACCAGCAGCCCAGGCTGCCCAGAGCCACATCCAGCCTGGCCTTGAATGCCGGCAGGGATGGGGCATCCACAGCCTCCTTGGGCAACCTGTTTCTTGTGCTCTTGTTTGATGTTCATCATCTGTTTTGTCTATATAATGTTTTCTCTGTATCCCACCATGTGTTTTGCTTAGTCTGCAGTATTTTCAGCCTATCCTTCAAAACAGCATTAGTACCTTTTAATTATTTTTTTCCTTGATTAATAACTTATGAGTGCTGCTTTAAGCTGAGATTTGCATCGATACATGAACATGCTAAAATTGCAGGGTTGTGTTCCAGACTTATTCATGTGAAATTTGGGATGCTGTGGGTACCACGTTTTGTTCTCTGACTGTATTGCTTGTAGCAACCTCTGAATATCAGTTCTTATTTATATTTCAAATGTTTTTACCGGTCAGGGACAAAAGCTCTGTTTATGCCCATGTTCAAAAAGATGCTGGCATTCACGCAGCCCTGGAGCCCTCCCTGACCTGTGTTTATTCTATGAAGAAGCCACTGACATAGTGCTGTTTATTGCAGGCTCCAAATTTGGTTATTGTGCTTGCTTCTTCCATGGGCAGCACGGTCAAGACAAATGTGTTTGCTCTTTGCTGATGTGCACCAACGGCTGAATTCAATTTGCATGCATGTTTTCTTACTGAAACTCTGCTGAGCCCTGGGTGCTTGCAGACCAGCCCTACTGGGAAACAGGCTGTTTGCAGCTTGGCTTTTGCAAGAAAGGAGTGGCAGAGCAGTACCAAGGGTCTGAAATACAGTTCCACTCATTTTCTATGTGTAATTGTACTAAGATGTCAAGCTGGGGAGAACACAGCCATTATAGCAAGTGGAAAGTAGCACTGAACACAGCTTCCTGCAAGTGAGTGTTCCAGGAGACAGCACTGGGGACCTTATTATATTCTTCTTGTGAAACTGCAGCATTTGCTCTTTCTGTCAGTTGGTTTTCTTGAATTTTTCCTACTGGATGTCATTTTAGACCCAACAATTGTGATTTGCTTATCTGACTGAATGATCCAGCTGTTTCCAAGGTCAGTGTTGACTCTCTCGAAACTACTTTACATGAATAATAGTCTTGAGCTCAAGTATGTGAATAGTCTTATATAGGCTGTATGAAGCTCGTGGCTTTATTCCTTGAGGTAGCAGCTGTAGAGTGGCATCCAAATGCTTCCCTGATGGGAGCAGTCACTCACTGACCAGAGCTGATCAGGGATGGTAACTGAAGACGTGACTGAAATGCTGATACCGTGTTGGTCCTCTGCCAGGTAGGTACAGCACGTACAGAAAAGTGGTACAGAAAAGGGTTGGAAGCTGCAACACGCTCCTGCAGAGCTGCCCACAGCCTTTGTGCAGGGATTGTTCTTGCCTCCCTGCTGTGCTGTATCCGAGTACAAAAATGGGATGAGGCATTTATTGCCAAACAGCCATGAAAGCGGTATGCCCTCTCTATATACAAACCAACCAGTTTAGGATCGCTTTCCGATTGTCACCAATCATCTTCCCAGTCTTCAGGCTCTTTCGCTACAATACTTACACGGAAGTGTTGGTTTTCTTCCTTTTTATTTTTAATGGGAAGGCCTGCAGAACTCATCAGTTGTCACGCTCGTTTTCTTCTGAAGCCGCTTTGAACTCTGCAGCGTTTTCACGTGGAGGGGGTTTGTTTAGATTGAAGGAGGTGCTTCCAGCACTTTACCTCCTCCCACTAGTCCAGAGTGCCTTAAAGCAGAGCCCTGCTTATAGCAAGAACCAGCTGCAGTGAGCCAGCGGCCTGGGACACACAGCAGGCCCAGCATTGTGCCAGAGACCACTCCAGCTGCCTGCCCCTGTGGAACTGCTCTGCGAGCTCGTTATTGTTAGCGTGCATGAACTACACGAACAGGTAGGAGAGAAAAGAGACTATCAGCTTTCTGAGTAATGCATGAGTTTCACACTATCACTACTTGTTTTCACTTTAAAAAAGCAAAAGGTTTGCAAAGGGAATAAATGCCTCTCAAACGCAGCTAGGGTCTGTGGCAGTTGTTGCATGGCACCCCCCTTTTACAGGTGTGGTGAGATCGATTCCTTGTGGTAAGATGTGCTTTGGCAGTCCATGCAATCTTGTGATGGAGTCCAGTTAGTGTTTAGACTGTATTTTTAGCAGCAGCCCTTTGTGACTGCATGGCAATACAATTTATGAAGTAAGACACAACTCCTTAATTGTCTCTTATGTTGTAGAGCTGTACGCAGTGTTCAGTGCAGCACTCTGCAAAGTAAACATTTCCTTGGTTTATGGGGAAAGGATTCTTGTCAACAAGACTTCCCAGCTTCTGGTCACATGCTTGAGTTATCTCTGAGATGGGTTTTCTGGCAAACGCATAAGCAAATGTTTCTCAAGTTGATGCTGTTCATATGTAAATTCCTCATTAGCTGTGGGTTTCTTGCCCTCCTTCTCGGTCTTTGGCTTAAAATGTTAAGCATGAAGAGCAAGAATGCTGACCCGTTAAACAGAGATAACTCGTGCTTGCACCATCAACATGTCAAAGGGGAATGTCTGCCTGAACCTTCTCCTGGCACTTGGAAGTTAACAGGGAAAAACAGAGTTCTGGAATTCTGAGGAACAAAATAAGAACTCACTCTTGGGATACTCTTGCAAGAAGAGCTTGCCATGAGAAAACATAATTTAACCTCCTAGCAAACCTTTGGTCTTGCAGGATAACATGGTATGAATTAGTAATTCAGGAAAAGATGCTTAGGTTGCAGCTGGGCATCACGAGAGGCTCTGCAGCACTCCTCGTGGTCGGTTTGCCTCTGTAGTTATCCTGAAGTGTTGGAAAATTGGACGCTTCCCCAAGTCGGTTGTTCTGTGAAGGTGTTTGACAATGTGAGTCTTGCATGTTTGCAGAGGTACTTAAGGTAAAGGAATGATTGTTGTACATCTGAGTTGACATGCTGTTTTATTTCTCTGTAGTGAATATGAAGGTCGAATACATAGGGTGAAACCGTGATCATGTTTAGTTGTAAGCAGTTTCCTTCCTCCTCCTCGCCGTGTCGCCATCTAGCCTCAATCAAAAGTCATCTGTTGATACTGGCAGTACATTTTGGTGATGAAAACTGGACATTGTTTTCCTAAGAAGCATTTAGTTGTGTACACTTGAGTTCATTGCCGTGGTGACGGTTTACAAGGAGGTTTTGTTAAGTCTGCCAGCAGAGCTGTGAGGGTGCCAGGATGCCCACAGCAGGCTGTCACGACAAAGTGAGATGCATACGTAGTTTCTTCTGTCTTCATGACTTCAGTGGGGTGTTACTCCGTAGGTTTTTATAGACATTCTTGAAATAAGAACAAGATTATGAACTGAAGGAGGAAAAAACCCACCCTTGAGTAACTGCATTTTTCTTCTGTTATGATGTGCTTGCCAGCTTTTTCATCCATAACTTGCGGTTTGCATTTTCCCTTCTTGCTGTCAGGAATGCCAGTAATAAATACAATGCTAGCATTCTAAAATACTTGAAGATAAAGGGAATAAACATTCAATCTTCTTTTTTTTTTCTGTGTACCTCTAGTAGCTAACTGGTGTAACATGCCCTGAAGACATCAGTTGGGTGTGACCTGTGTTGGGGGGCTCCCCTGGGTTTCACAGCACTTGTTCTCTGTCAGCTTAGTGGTGCCGAATGGCTTTGGCAAGCAATCAAGTAAGATGCAGCATTGGCTGTGTAGCTTGTGTCTCAGCTGATGTAGTTACAGCATCATGTGTGCTTGCTTCTCATTTCAGTGCCTGGAGAACCCCAGAGAGCACCAGAGGAAGGAGAGGTGAGGAGGAGAGCATGTTTGTAGCGGTTCCCCTTCCTGGGAAATCCAGCAGCACCAGCTTGCAAACCTAGGCAGAACGTGCCTTGCTCCGTGTAGAATCGAGTCAGACACGTCCAAGTGCACATCTTGAATGCTGTCAGCTGTGTATTACAGAGGAAAAAAAAGAGAAAGGAAATTCACAAGTATTAAAAAGACCTCCTAATCCTGGAAGTCTGCGGCACGCTGTGTGTTTTGACTTACCCTGAGGTATGAAGTGCTTTCTCAAGTAAGCCAAGTGACAGCAAACATCTTGGGTTCTATATTGGTTTTGGAAGCAATTGGAAAAAGGTGTGTGTGTGTGGGGGGGAGATTCTCAGTAATGTAAGGCCTTATATAGGAAATATTCACGTTTTCAGTATATCTTAGTGACACACAGGACAAAAACCTGTACAGCTTTGCCAGTAAATTAGAGGGGAGGTGAAATCCTATTGATCATGAAAGCCGTAGCAAATCACCTATTTTAAGCATACTACTTCATGCTGAGTTACCATGCTTTCCTGTGTAAGGAAAGATGTTTTTCCTGAAGAATCAACTTCAGAGACTGGCTCACGTCCCACCTCAGGGCGAGCTGCCATTACCCAGCAGTGCACTTCCCAGCTAGTTTTGGTTTTGGGGGTTACTGCAGTGCTTTGCAGCACCAAGCTGAGCACTGTGGGATAACCACTGGGTGATGCCAGACTGCAGCCATAGAGCAAGGCAATCTGCTGGGCCTTATAAGTTGTGTGAGGACCTGGAATGTTTGTTATTCTTTCAATCCCGTGAAATTTCTGTCAGCAAGAGCAGAGAATGCCAGAGTGTGAGGGGAACGTAGCAGACTGGAGCTCCCTCCCAAGTGCCAGTGATAGAAGAACAGTGTGTGTCTCACTTGTCCAGGAGCAACGGGACTTGTTTGAGTCCTGCAACAGCTGGCAAAAGCAGCCAACTGGTTGCCTTCTGAATGCAGAGTAGTGCCAGCGCTTCCAAATTAGCTAAGACATTGTCAGCAGCATGGAAAATACAGGAACAGGCTGCTCTGCCAGCATGAGAGCTGGGCTCTTTGTGCCGGGCAGGCAGCTCATGGAAAAATTGAGCTCAGGTGCTGGGCGGAGACTGCATGAGGTCCCAACCTTTGTCAGTGACCAGGAAAGTAAGAGCAGGGTTTGGTTGCTGGTGACCAGGAAAAAGAGAGCAGGGTTTGGTTGCTAAGGGAGGGCCCTGTTTTGCTTGTCAGCAGCCCCACAGCGTGTGCCAGGAAGAGATGACTTAGTGCCTGCTATTGTTACTGCTGCAAAACCTCTTTGGGTAAAAGGAGCTGCCCATGCTTTTCTTCATACCTTGGTGGTTTCCTCCCTGCCCTCACCTCTGCTTTTCAGGCAAAATCAGGAGGGCTGGATGTAGCTCTGGGCGGCCTGGTCTGGAGGGGGGGCTTGAAACTCGATGATGATCATTGTGGTCCTTTTCAACCCAGGCCATTCTATGATTCTGTGCAGCTTACACCAGTGTCCTGAGCTCAGCTCTACCCAAGCCAACGCAGCGTATTGATAAAATTGCAACAAATTAGCTACAGTAGAGTGGTTTATTTCTGAGATGCGAAGGCTGGTGGTGTGGATGCCTGTATGTAGGCAGCCGTTCGAGTGCTTCTGGTTGTTACATTCATTGTGCTAGGAGGTGCAGCTCGGCTGTGCAGCCCAGAGGGCAGCCACGGGCTAAGCGGGTGGTTGTGCTTGTTGCTGCTGTTTATCTCCCTCCAGCATATCGAGGAAGCTGTAAGCTCAGTGTTCTCCCAATTGCTTTCTCTACATAAACTGCTTAAGGGAAGTACGCTATGTACATAAGCCTCTTCACCAAAACAAAACAAAAAAAAAAAAACGAAACCAGTGTGAGTAGCAATCAATAGAAGCAGCAGCCAGCGTGCTGATAACCGCCGAGGCAGCACAAAGCTCGTGTAGCTGTGACATCGCTGCCTGCGGGCGCTGCTGACTCACAGCGAGCACCGCCAGCCCCCGGGCACGGAGCAGCGCTCGGACTTCGGCTCCGGGAAGTGCCGGCAGCGCGTTGTTCCCCGCGGGACGCAGCGCTGCTTTACCAGCAAGAGCTGCCGCTCTGCTCCGTCGAGCCGCGTGGGGCTTTTCGCTTCTTTCATGCGAAGATCCAACTGCAGCCATGCCGATGGAAGCGGACTGCCTGAGCCCCGAGGCTCAGAAGCTGGTACGGCGGTGGGGGGAGGTGGGGGTGCTGCGGCTCTTGCGATCCAAATCGCAGCCGGGCAGCACCTGTGCTCGTTTAACCCTTCGTGGGCTGCCCAGCCTTTAATCGGCTTTCACAATGCTTAATAAGCGGCGTCCCCCCTTGGGTGTGCTTGCCCTGAACGTGCCTGCCCCAGTTTAAACCACAGTGGGTTTGGTTTTATTACCTCTTGCAGGACAGTATCTTTGCGGTCTGTGTTACAGCCCATGTCACACAGATGTGTGTGAAGCTTACCGTGTGCAGTGAAGCTCTTGGCCACTTAGCGAGCTGCTGAGCAATGCTGTGTTCTTTAAGTTGCTTCCTACAGGTTTCTGTTGCATGTGCCTTTGACTGAATTCAAACATAATAATCATAGATGCTTAGAGAAAGTTCTGCTTGCTTGTTTTTCTTGTGCGTGTGTTTGTAAGATTTGGAACAGTCTGTGAGAATTGTCTCGTTTTGGACGTGCTGTGTAATTTACAGCACCTCCACAGCAGTGGGTGCTAGTGGGGTGCCTATTGTTGGCACTGGCTGGCACCCATAAGTAGCTAATTTTTCCCAGTGCTTTGAGTTTTCTGAGCCCTTTTAAAAATAAAGTTTGGAAACGAAAGTTATTTGCTTTTCAGATTGACGTGAGAGCAGGTACGCCAACTTCATTTCTTCTGTGCTTTGTAAGTGAAGTTTAAAAGCAGCCCCGTGTCTCCATGGAACCATAATAGAGGAGTCACTAGGCTGCTGATGCAGGTTGCTGATTTTGTGTCGTTCTCCCGGTTCCTCCCTCATCATCACCCTGTGGAGCAGAGGGAAGCCGTCAGACATGTCCATAATGGTGTCCCCCCCCAGTCTGAAGGATGGCTGTGGCCTGTGGTTATTAGAAAGGAATCCTTACCTTTATATTTAGAAGTCATTTGCATGTAAGGTGAAGAGCTGGGCAGGACGGGGGCTGACCAATCCCTGTGTGAGTCATGGGCTGATCGTCACATGAGTACAATAGTGGTGCAAGGTGTACTTAGGCTCCCGGCTCAGATGCAGAGAACATCAGGTAGACATGCTGCTCTGACTTCCAGCATCATCACCTGCAGGCACCCTTGTTTCAATGCAGAGGAACATGTGGTTATGATGAGCTCCAGGAGCTCGAGTGAAGGCAAGGTGAAGGCAGCACTGCTATCACTTAGTAGAGGCTGAGCTGATAGACATATCTGCTGCCTTGTGAGAATCTTGCAGATCAGGTGCTGCTTGTGCAAATAATCCTTACGTTCTTTAGGAGTACAGCAAACCTAGCCAGGTTTCTTTTGACTAATGAAGCATGTGACTTATGTAGATGGAGTGAGCAGTTGTGTAACACTTGAAGAAAAAGCTTTTCCCTGCAAGGTACTGGGCTGGAATGGCAGCACCAATGAGAAACTGTGCTCACAGCAAACAAATAGCTGGCTCTGCCTTAAGCATAAAGCAAGAAGCTTATGTTAGCCTGAGAATAGTTGTTACAGGAATATGTAATAGCTACTGTGTAGTTTGCAGGTGTATTTTTTCTGGTAATGAGATCAGAGAGTTTTCTGAGCTTGATTTTGTGCTTACAAACAACACTTGACTGTTAGTTTTTGAAGCAGATCGCTTTGACTACATTGGATTTAAGGAGTGCTTTGTATAGATTGCAAACTATTACATGTGTAGCTGTGTGGTAAGTCAGCACAGTCATTTTCCAGTGCTCAGAAAAGCAGCATAATTTCCTGCCTTTGTTGGCTGTTTCTTGGGGCTTCCAGTTTAACAATGACCCCTGGAACGTTTCAGAAAGGAAAAGCTCCAAGACTGCACACCTTCAGGATGTGTGTCATTAGCATCTATCTAACCAAGTCACCCAAAGAATTCCCTCGTCAAGACAGTAATGAGCAGACATCTTCTCCAGGCTGGGAAGCCCTCCTTTTGGTCCTGGTTGCCTTTCAAGCATCAGTGCTGGATGCAGAGCGCTGGTTCCCATCAGTGGCTGAAAAGGGTCAGGATGGCTTCAGCCATCACAGATTCCTAGTTCTCCCCACAGCCCCGTGCTGCAGGCTGATTGCTGTTGGAAATGCTGCTCGCCCTGCCCAGCTCATACCCACTACCTGCCTTTTCTTATCGGTAGGGAGCCAGGTTACTTAATGTTAGCCTGCTCAGAGCTGAATGTACTGAACTCCTTAATACACAATAAAGATCTGCACAGCGCTGGATTTTTCTTTGGAAACCAAACAGGGCTGTGGAGTGCAGAGCAAGTGGACCAACAAAAGCAGCCGGCGTTTTGCAGGGCAGTGGGGTGTTTGCTTTGGGGCTCTGTGTCTATAAATCACCCTGGGCAATTGCAATAAAATGACAAAAATGCAGGATGTGTAGCTGGAGTGTTTGAGCAACTCCCTTGAATTCAGGCGGATCATTCTTCAGCTGGTGTAGGTTTCTGTGTTCTTCTGAGCGCTGTGCTGTCTCTCTTCTTGTTTTTCCCACAGGCTTTTACAGAAGCCCCTTAGGGTTTCTTTTGGATGACATGCACAATGCAGCTGAAGCTGCCAGCACTCCTTGTCAGATGCACAGTAGTTCATAAAGGGAAGTTACAAAGGCTTTCTAATGAGTGCAATTAGGCTTTGTGTTTTTATTCGCGTGTGTTTGACAGTGATCTGCCGCTTCTGATTGAGGTATTGCTCATGGAGTCAGTAGTGAATTTTAGGTGGGTTTAAGACTTCCTTCTTTCTAAGTGATTTTCCATCTCGGATCCATTTAATAGCTATTTATTTTGGTAGCCTTGAGACTTCCATTTCAGCTCTTGCAGTCTGAGTTGCAGAAGCCTGCATACATCAGTGTGTGCAGCGTGCTGAGCACCGAGTCCCTTGCAGGCTATGGGCACCTGCCTGTGCCTTGGAGATGACTTGGGTCTGGTGTTGGACAGGTGCTTGGGCTGAAAGGCCAGAGGCATTCACACAGAGCCTGCCTTGGTATAGACAGCATGGAGAAATGTCAGAGCTGCCCCTTGCAGAAATCAGAGTATTCATAGCAGGGCACTATTAATGCAGGAACAGAACCTAAGTGTGTGGTTTGATAAACATAGACAAGTTGAGTCACACGCCTGCTTTTGAGGAAGAGGTCCATAACAAATGTGGCACTGCTATATGTTTCTCTGAAGTCTGTAGCTGTCAGTTTGGCTCGTGTTAGGATCCTTTGCATGTCTGTGGCACGTGGTGTTGGGATGGCTGCCACTGTCAGCAGGTGTGCTATGCTTTTGCACAGGACAATATGTGATGGCTCCTGTTGGTCTTCATGCTTAATGCAGGCTTTGTTCCATGCTCGGCTTGCTTCTCCACTTCGAGTCGGAATTCAGTAGAACTGTTCTCATTGAGTGTGAGGTGGGGATTAGGACCCACCCAGTTTATTTACACTGATCTCATGCATGTTACCTGTTTTATCACCTGGCTACTTAGAGAATATCAGAAATGTTCGTTCTGCTTCCATCATTCCATCAATTAAAGTGCCCGAGTGGGATCCCACAGGACAACTGGACAAAGTGTAGAGCAGTGTGGTCTGAGTCGGATGCTGACCATGTTCAGAGGAGGAGGTTGGAGCCTGAATGCCTCTGTGCTGCTTTGATGTGATAGAGGGAGTTGTGATATTGTCCTAGGGAGTGTTCTGGATAGACTAAGTTTCTGTTGACTTCTTGCAAATGTATCAGTAGGGTATGTGCTAATGGCAGGGTTTGATAAGCTTAAAAAGACAAGTTCAAAAGCTATTTAAAAGGATTCAGAATATTTTGTTCTCTTGCTTGTCATGACGGATGCTAACTGCTGAAGAACCATGTGTCCTGGAAAGACAAAGTTCATGAAAAACATATGCTAGTTCCAGGATATAAGCCAAGCCAAAGATACTGAAGGAAAATGTATTTTTACTCTTGCATGTCTTTAGGGTCTGAAAAAATGGCTTGGTATGAGCAGGCAAGGACTTCAAAGCTAAAATACAATAAATTAGAGACTACCCATGGATTGGCACTTGAAACCAAAATGTATCATATATATGTATATGTAATGTCATCTAATGGGATCTTCCACAACGTAAGAATTCGTTTATTGCAGTCAGCATCCAGGGAACATGCAAGCCTTGTTCCCAGGGAGGACCTAGAATAACTTACAAAGCATACTTTTCCCCTTGCATCTTAAAAGTTTCTTCATTTTCCAAGTTGCTTCATTTCATTGTATGCTGGAGAGAGAATATATGCTTCTACAGTACAGCTAGCAAGCGTGTGAATCCCTTTGCCCTTGTAGCATCACACAATCATAGAACTGAATGGGCTGGAAGGGACTTCCAGAGATCATCTGGAATCCTCTGATCAGAGATCAGAGGAGCTGAGTGTGCTTCCAGGTTGGTGAGAGCACACGGTCCCTCCAGCTCTCCTGTCCTGTGCTTGCTGTCCCACTGCACAGAGCCTGTGCTGACTTTGCACATGAGGCTTCCTGTTTTTGCCTGATATTAAAAAGCAGATAATTGAAACAGTTACTTTGCAGCATGTCCTGGCACCTCCAAACCCGATGAAATGAGGAAGCTTAATAGATCTCATGGGAGGCCCGTGCTTGGCAGGCATCCACTCCGGAGAGGTTTGGATTTTGAATGCCACCGTCTGGATGCTCTAGTTGAGCTGGTGCGTTTTCTCAGGTTCCCTGTTTCCTTGCCTGGATGGTTCCAGCCTTGGCTGAGGGTAGTTGTTGTGCTGAGCTGCTGTGCCTGCGTGTGCACAGTGTCAGCTCTTGGGGAAAACGGCACGTAACGTGTTTGCTGTTTGTCTAATTAATTCATCAATAAAAAAATAATGTGCACGGCAGGGAAGGGAAAAAAAAAAAGACACCAACAAAGAAAGGCAGGTCTGGCTTGTTTTTTTGAAATAAGTAAATAAACCTGGCTGTTTCCTCTATTGCAGCACTTCCTCTCTATCTGCACAGATAGTAATTACAGAGACACAGGGCGCATCTCAAGGCAGCTGCTCACTGGGGTTGGTGCCTACGCTCGGCTGTGTTACCTGCTGGTGAAGCATAACGAGTTATGGAAGGCAGGGCCATTGCTAGCAGTAGGGAATTAACTCCTACAGGTGTGTTTACAGCCTTACGGAGCTTAGCCTCCGTGTTTGGCACCCTGAGCGCGCGTGCCTCACGTTGAGCTGTGTGCCTTTGGTCTCATTGCTGTGTTCCCATCCGCAGGCTGAAGCGAGGCTGGCGGCAAAGCGAGCAGCGCGGGCAGAGGCACGGGAGATCCGGATGAAGGAACTCGAGCGGCAGCAGAAAGAGGTACGTCTGTGGGGCAGGGGGGGCAGGGGGGGCAGGTGGCCCATCTGCTTTCTTATAGGTGATCCCAGGACCTGGAGCAACATATATTTTGCTGAATCCTTTGTCTGTGCGGAGCTAGCGCTGCTGCTGTGTTTGTGGATCACGGGACAGAAAATGACTGAAATTTGGGATTGTGACAACGGCTTTGTTTCAGTGAAGCTGGTTTAATTATTCACAGAGAACACTGGTGGTTATTGTAATCATTAATATTAAACTTGGAGATCCGTGGCCTGGTTGTATGTGTGGAATCCTGGAAATGGATTCCTGGCACTTCATTAGAAATAGCAAGGAAGACTCCTGGCCCTCCTATAGCTCTCTGCTTGCAAGCTGAGGAGAGCATTGTGATTGCCCTGTTTATAAAAATGGTCTGCTGTGAGCAGGTGGAAAGCTTGGTAACCAAAGCAGGGGGACTGTATTTGGTAAAACACAGCCCTCTGCAGAGTCTTGGGAAGAGCTTGTTGTTTTTATGCAGTCAGCATGTGTAGAATCATGGGCCTCTGATGTAGGAATCATCACCAGTGACTGTGAAGACCCAAGCAGTTTGTTCTGCTTCTGTTGTGCTTGGTGCACCAGAGCTGTACTCAGTGTTGTTAACTCTACTTCGGGAAACAGTAGTGGTTTATTTTGAAGCTGTGCAAGTTAAAGGAATCAGGATGAGGCTACAGGCAGAGATTGGCACAGGCAGACCAATGATGAGAACCAGCAGGGTTTAAAAATTTCATTAAACACACACCAAGGAATGCAAGAACAGAAGAGATGTAGCAAGGCCAATGACAATCAATGTTATTACTCGAATGAAGTAAGTTTTGATGGCAAGGGAAGAAATAAGGAGTCGTCTAGAGGTGTATGTGAGAAGATTAAATGTAGGTGCGTGCTTTGGGGTGCAGGGAAGGATTTGGTTTAGCTTTAAAGTGGCAAATCAGGTTGCAGTAGCAGACCAGCATTGGTGCAGACTGCAGGAACCACCCTGGAGCAGAAGCAGGTGGGCAGTTTGCCCATACTGAGCATTGTGCCGAAGTGCCTCATCTAGCTGAGGCATGTTTGGATGTTTCTTAACACCCCTCAGCTGCAGTGAAGTCCAGATATACCTGCAGACACACCAGAAGTCAGACCTGCAGAGAAGCATTGCTGTAAGCGTGGTGCTTGTGGAAGAGAGGAGCCTGTTAGTACTCCAGCTGCTGCTTTTTGAAGGATGTTTCTTGTAACCTGGATCACATTCGGAAGGCCCAGACTGTGGATAAGCACTGGTGCCATCAAGCATCGTGGCGTGCCTGTAGCCCAAGTGCTGGGATTGGCTCAGCAGCCTTTGGAAGCTCTGTGGCAAACAAGCACAAAGTGTTTTGTTTGGGCAGCAAACTAAATATGGGTGTCGTGGCAGCTGACAGTGGTGTTACCATCTAATTAGCAGATAATACTAATGGGACTTGATGACCCCTTGCAGATTAAAAGCTGATGCTGCAAAGAACATCCTTGTAAATTGAGATGTTGGTATGAAAGCTAAAGCTTGAAAAGATTCTGTGCGTGCTCCTGCAGATAACTGATCTGAAACTTGGTAGAAGTTGCCTTCTGTGCATGGAATTTGAATGGTACAGCATGTCATTCTGCAGTATGAAATTCAGTGCAAGCTCACTCAGATATTCCCTACAATCTGTTTTGTAATTCACTGGCATAGATCTCAAAACATGACTACACAACTGTTTAATGTTTCGCAAGCTTTGGATATCCCCTGAATTTTTCACATAGCTTCATCTCAACTCCCAGATAGAAGGTAGAGCTAACGAGGATGTCTGCACGAAGCTGTTTGTTGCCACAGATATATCACAAATATAATGGAAGAGAGCACAGATAGAGAAGATTCCAAGTAGGAAGCAGCACAAGAGATTTGGCACTTTCCCCTTGTTCCTGGGAGAGAACAGACTGTGATACTGGTGTCTGTACAGCTTGTTGTCTGCCATCTTCCCCGTCCTTCTCAAACTTTTCGGGGCAATAAATAGCACATTCACACATGTCAGAGGAGAACAACTTAGAGCACTTGCTCTACTACTTCAGGAGGTTTTTAGAGCCAGTTATGGGAGTTAAAAAGCAGTAAGTAAGTTTATTGCATATGTATGCATTTCGTGCTTAAAACAGCACACTTGCTCTGACAGGCACGGATCTCCCAGGAATATAAGTATATATTGTTAGTCTGGGTTACAAGTTACCAGATGTTACTGTTACAAGCTATAAACAAAGTATAGCTCCCACTTGCGCTGCAATAGGGTGTTGCAATGTTTGGATATGGACTGGAAACGGGCTTCCCTCGGGCCCACCATCTAATATTAATGATGTTTCTTAGTCTGTCTTTCATTTTCCTAGCCTTAAAATAATGGGATAACTTCTGCATCATGAGTGTAAATATATTATTTAAGTAATGTTTGCATTTCTGGCAAGAACAACACGCCAGGTATCTGTTGTTCTTGTTCCCATAAATGTTTCTATATGTAGGAGCAACCATTTTATTAGGTGCTATTAAAAGGCTACATTCTGTAGTCACCTTATATGTGAAGAATGTACCAAAGATTAGTCACAGCTGCATAATAAAGCTCATCAGTAAATGGTGGGGATACGTGACACCATGCCCAGCTCCTCGTATGGCAGGATTTAATGCAGCACACAGCACTGGCAGCAGGAGCTCCAGCACAGTTGGTTGTTCTGGAGATTCACATTGTATTTATCAGGCAGCTTGGTTTTGCATAGTGGTAAGCGTGCTTGCTTGCAGGTATGGGTTGAGCCCCTGTTTAACGTCTATGCAGAAGGGTAGATTTAGTAAATTCGGGTTGAAATACAAGGGCACAGAGGGGCTTTTGAGAGAAAACTCCCTGCATTGCACCGTGAGATGTGGTAGAGCTCCAGGGGAAGGCTGCTGCAGGTCGCTGTGGTGGGGCAGGAATCCAGGTGTGTTTGCAGAGGTGGTTTTGTTTGATCACCCGATACCATCTTGGGGCAGGCTGCAGGAAGGACAGGCGTGCCAGGGTGCTTTCAGAAGAGGGAGCTGAGGAGAGCAAGCCTCCAAGTTTCATGGAGATGTGAGCTGGGTAAATGAGGAGCCTGCTCTGAAAGAACACGAGCACCGGAGCCGTGATCCGATACGTGCTGATCTGTGAAGATAGAGCTGGTGGTCAGTCTCACATCACATGCATTTGGCAGAGAAAGGGTTCCTCATCATGAGGCTCTAGGAAAGGCACGGCTCTGCTAAACACAACTGCGGGAACTTGTTGTTCTGTGCTACTTGTTGTTCTCCACCAAAGATGTAAATGATTAATAGGGAGGTTGCTGTAGGTTTTCCTGGCATCCTTCAGCACGCAGTCTGTGCAGGAGAGGCAAATGCCAATGCACTTTCTCAGGTGTGTGGGTGGTTGCAATAGGTGGCACTTAGTGCCCTGCCTGCTTCCAGGCTGCAGGTCCCACCCTGCTGGGCCCTGTGTTTTCCCCTGCCACGCTGCCGTGGCCTTTAAACATTTGGTTTACAGTTGCTGAGTCAAAGGTCAGTCGATCTGGATCCTGCTGTAGAGTTATGTTTGGTACCGAGTCAAATACTTGGGTGCATTCTGACATTTATTTTTAATTCACACAGCAGAACAAGGCAGGAGTTGGCTCAGTAGCTCCGAGTAACAAACTGTAAATTCTAGTGGGGTTACCAGGTTAAAGAGAGGATTTTTTTGTGTGTATTTTTCCCTTGCAGTGATACATACTGAAGTTTTCTTCTTCTTTTTTTTTAAGAAACATTTAACTGTTGAGTATCAGGACACTTTAAAGCCTCAGCATTAATGGCTAATTGGAAAGAATGTTTTATGTAGGAGTACGTTCTGTGTTCTGCTGGCAAGACTCAGATGTCTCTTTGAGGACTGACAGTGGGAGACCACTGTTTAAGCTGATATTGAAGCCTGAAGGGAAGAGAGAGAGATCTCCTCCCACTCTGTAACCTGCAGGATAAGGTTCCTGCATGGCAGTTCATGCAGCAGATGAGCCTCTGCTTTTAGTTCAGGGCAGGTGCTCTGTATGTGCCTCCTCGCTTCATTTTCAGCTTAGCACAACACTTGCCTGTGCAGTTTTGTACATTCTTTCTTTGCCAACAAACCTATTTGCACATAGTTCTCTCTTTGCATTCGTGCTTTGGTGAAGTAAAATATGTTACTGGTACTTCATTGTGGCTTTTTATTTCCCCCCCCCCCCCCCCCGTGTCATTTGCAGCCTGTGAATGTAAACGTGCTAAAGGCAAGCTAATGTGAGAACACCCTTGATCTGCTTTCAGGTCCTGTTGATCACGACTTAGGCCCTTTTTTTTCCCTTGCTAGGATTTAGTGGCTGCAAGCCTGAGCTGAGTCAGCAGGTCCTGTGTGACAGCTGGCATATGGAAGAGTTTGGAGCCATTTCAGATCCTAGGCAGTGCAGGAAAAATGAGACAAGAGCATTGGTGTTTGAATGGGAGGTGGGAGGCTGGCCAGGAAACTTGGTGCTGATGTGTGTGGAGAAGAAACTAAGGAGCTGGTGAAGGTTATCTGTGTCTTTCTTGCACAAATAGTGTGAAGGTGCAGAGGGCGCTGCACTGATTGGAGATTGCATTGGAGCAGAGCTGTTGTGACCACGCTATGGGCTGACCACAAAAGTCTGACCTTTGTCCCAAAGGTATGGGACAGCTATCAGAAAGCATCATCCACGTGCGAGTGGTGTCAGCGTGCCCCAAAGCTTGGCTGTACCTGTTACCAAGCCCTGGCAGGGTATGTTTGAAAGGAGCATACTGTGGGTGAAACAACAGCGTGGCAGTGTTAAACCTATAATAGCTGCCTGCTAATTGCCACATGTAAAAGTGCAGTGCTTGAATGGATGAAAAGCACCCTGCATATGCAGATTGGAGTTGCTGTGTGTTCTTGGGAACTGTGGGAGGCTTTAGTGCAGTTTCTTCTTACAGGCTTTCTTAGCGC